CCCTTGCCCCTCCCCCCCAGCCACTGCTCTGCAAGGGTAGCAGTGGGTGCTAGTGCCCGCTCCGCCGGCCTGGACACTTAGCCGGAATTGAAGGCACGTGTCGCCCGCATGGAGAATTTTCTCTCAGTGCTTTCCAATTTGACACCGAGACAGGTATGATCTGCCGTATGAAGACCACAGGCACATTTGCCATCTTCATCGGTGACCACAGGTGCTTGGCTGTCGATACTCATAAGTTCCCAGACACTGAGGCAAACTGCATGTACTACACTGAACATCAAGGACATATCTGCAAGTGCAACATCAAGGACGGAAAAATGGAGAAGATCTCTGAAGCTGCAGATTTCGTTAAGCAGGACAAACAGTTTGTCCTGGTCGCCGACCGTCCTTGCACCATCATCCACTTTCTCGCCAGCTACACAGTCAACATCCCGGATTCTCAGCTGGCCTTGCAACAGATTCCATAAGGCGCCGGCATATCTTCATTCAACTTTGGGGATATTGAGCACGAGGACTGACCGACAAGAAGGCTATGCATTTGCTAAGTAATTCTTCATGTTTTCCTTCTACTAGTCTTTTGTTTAGTTATTATGGTCATGCCTTGACTTATTAATCCTAAAACAACAGCTTGATTCTGTGTTAGATCACCTGTTGTGGAACTACAGTTTGCTGTCTTAATTACTAGTGCTTGGTATCAACCTAATGCTACATCAACTGTGCTTGATGCTATCTTATTTAGGTGTATCTTCTCTTGTATTACTAGTGTTTGGTATCAACCTAATGCTACATCAACTGTGCTTGATGCTATCTTATTTAGGTGTATCTTCTCTTGTATTACTACTTCTTAGCAATGCAGTCTGGTGGTTAATTTTCTGGCAGTAGTAAATGTTGGCCCAATTTTTGCCAACTTCAGAATTTAGCTCTTGCAATGGGACCATTGATCATAGTAGCATGCCTCGTTGTTCTCTGCAACTTCTCTATACGGTGCGGCTTGGGCTTACAACAGGGTATGAAAGCAACATTTCGTCTATTTTTCTAATGCTCCTATACGTCCATGCTCCAGCCACTTGAACTAACTGTATTTGTGTAGTTTGTTCCTTGTATTTCTGGGCATTACTGTAGAAATACATTAAGAACTGAAGATCTGCTTTGCAGCTTATAAATATTTGTGGCATGGTTGGCGGGTGCTGTCTCTAAAGAGGGATGGTATATTCTTTACATATTTTGCGTGGCAGGTGTTGTATACTCCCTCCGTCCGAAAATACTTGTCATCAAAATGAACAAAAATGAATGTATCTAAAACTAAAATACATCTAGATACATTCACTTTTATTTATTTTGATGACAAGTATTTCCGGACGGAGAGAGTATTTTACATTGTTTTAATCCTGCTTAGAGAAAGCATGTGTTCTGAGATGTTTCAACTGGGCATTGTTCTTCGGCTGATTTTAAGATTGTTCTTCTATGAAGATTGGGCAATTAGATTGAAATCACTGCCAATTATACATGGAAAAGTGCTACGGAAGTGTGCTCTTAGATCATCTAGGAAGTTAAGCTTCTCTACATACGGAGCAAAATGAATGAATCCACACTTAAAATGCATCTATATACATTCGTATGTAGTTTATAGTGAAATCTCTACAAAGACTTATATTTAGGAACGGAGGGAGTAGAATAGATAGTTTGACAATCGCTGGCCTATGCAACAGCACTACACTTCTCACCACACCACGTCTTGCAGGGTTGTTCAATCCCCTTACATTCCAGATTAGGATACCATAACTACTCACTGAGAACATGATCTACGCGGACACTAAAAACAGAGCAGGTCTAATCAAACACGTCGCGGCGTCCCTCGCACCCCTCGCGTCGCCTCCCCCCGGGCGACGCCAGGGGCCCCAACCCTAGCGCCGCCAGCACCTCTCCCTCCACCCCTTCCTGCCGCCGCTGCCGCCGGCGTGGGCCGCGGTGGCGGCGGGCCCGGTGCCAATGGTTCTGGGCGGGGGGAGGCGGCGGATCCCATCTGAGGCGGCGGGGGCGGCCCTTCTCATGCGATCCAACGGCGGCGGCTAGGACGGAGATTCCGGACTGTGCGGCGGGGGCCCGAGCACCATCGCCGGCGGAGCGGCGGCCCTGCATGGACGGCGGCGGTGGCAGCGCCCCACCCGGCGAGGTGGGCTGTCCTGCTCGTGATGGTGACGACGGCTACTACGGATTCGACGTCCCATTTGGATCCGTCGCAGGGAGGCTTTTCGCCGACCGGCGGCGCGTGGAGGGACCGGTGAGGAGATGCCGGAGTACCGACGGCAACATACGTCTTCGTGGCGAGGTTCTGCTCGGTTCCAGCCAGCCACGAGATCGGGAAGACGTGGCTTCCGGTGAAAATCGCGCCAGACTGCGGTCTTGGCGGATGATGGCGGCGTCTCAGACGTCGTTTCCTTCTGGAGGCATCGTCGTTGCAGCTCTCATCAACCTGATCGGGAAGTTCCGGGGGAAACCTTAGATCTGGGTCTACCAGATCGGACGATGACGGTGCTATCAGTACCGTTCTCCCTCCTAGGGGCATCATTTTGGAGCGAGTGCTGGTTGGAGGGGACAAGAGGAGGAGCGGTGTTTCATCTGCTCCATTGATGACGGTGGATCTCGGCGGCGTGGCGCAGTGGAGACTCGGCGCCTGATGAGCGGAGATGGACTCGCGCAGGAGGGTGACGCTACCTGGCGTCATGGTGGCGTCGGCGGCAGTTGGACCGGCCAAGGTTGATGCATCAGTACAGCTCTGAAGATGGGTTCGTGGCAGGTGGCTGCGGCGGCCTCATACCCGGCAGGGGTCCTAGTTGAGAAGCACGCTGGACTGGTGGGTGCCCATACCCGGCAGGCATCCTGGGTGGGACCTCAAGTCTTTAGACGGTTAGGTTTGGCTGCGTGGTCTGTTTGGTATGAGACCCAGACTTTCAGCGCCCCTACATCAACTGGATAAGGATAGCGACAGTTGTTGCTTAGTTTGGTGGCTTTAGACTTATTGTTGTATGACTCTGTATGGTCTTGTGTCAATAATTAATAAAGTGGCCGTATGCATCGTCCAGATGCAGAGGCCGGGGGTCGTCCTCCTTTTCTAAAAAAAAAAATCAAACACGTCGCGCCTTGCGACTTCCTTTGACAGTGGATGATTTTGCAAGAGCGGCAAGTGCCTTAATCAGCTTGTGGAGAGCAAACATTTTTAGAGCAAACTGATTCAGTCATGCCTTGTACTGTTCTACAGATCTGTGTGGTCTTCCATAAGTCTTTTTAACTCTATGTTATACAAAAAATCACAGTGTCTGCATAATTTAAAAAGTACTAAAATAAAATCTTTTGAAACAGATGTGCTCATTTTGAAAAATAAAAATTTCATGAGTTTTGTAGCACCCAAAAAACTGACCCTCACCAAACTATTACGGGATCATTGAGGATTGAAACTGAAGAAAAAACTAATTCAGTATGCCTTGTACTGTTTTACGTATCCCTCTATGTTGTACCAATAATTCCGATTGTGAAATTAGCTGTAATTGCAGATGCTTACTCTTTAGCAGTCTGTGTTGATCTTATTATTGGCTGGTCTCTAGGAATTGTTTTGCATTCCGATGTCGACTGTGGATCTGTATCTGCTTATTTCACTTTTATCTTTGTGTTTGAATCCTTAAGAGTGGTCTCTTCAGCTGCCAGACTACTACAAGTACAACCACATTTTCGCCTTTTTTCAGAAATATTCCTGAGAAATTTCCTTATAAAACGAAGGTGATTGAATAATGACGTTTTTTATCAATACTTTCATCTCAGTATACAACTTAGTAACAGTTTGTAATAACAAGAGCAGCTTGCAGAATACAGGGTAAAGCTGGAGGCAGGGAAGATAATAGTAGAGTATCATACTTGCAAACAGCTGCAGGGAGCTATGTCAACAAGTATATGAGGTAGTTGAGACAAGAATCAATTTTTCAAAAGTTCCTAAGGGACTTGCTACACCAGGTAGATGACAAGACTAAAGAGCTATGGCCTCAATTACACGGTGATTCTTCGTCCAACTAATCCAGAAACGTTTCGTTTTCCAGGAATCTTGGAATACAACAAAGAATTATCAGGCCGCTGCATTGGCATCCCATGGCAGTTATTTTTCTGATGATGTTCCACTACCAACTTATTCTCTGTACTTGCATATATTCACAGGACACAGGAGAATGAGATAATCGAATATTTTACTAAGAAATTATGACAAACAAACACTGCACATTTCCACTAATATGAATTGAAGATTTAGAAATCGAAATCATTAGATCACTGCATACTTTCATCCAAACTTGAAAAAAAAACAGTGGAAAGATGAACTGGTGAGAAGAGGACCGCCATGGTCTCGATAAAGCGCGGCGGCCCACATGTTATTCCGGCAGAGTGCAATGAGGGAGAGTAGAAGAACCAGCTCACACCGGAGATTAGCGACGAAATCACCTAGAGGGTATGTGCTGGTGCTGCCTCTACTTGCAGATGCTATGCAGTAGTTCCCTTAAGTGGATACATATGTTGCACTATGGTAGCTTCTGTAGATGACACATCCTTGCAAAATGACCAAAACTTCAAGCTTTACTAATTGACAGTAGTTTGAGTTGTCAATTATTCTGTTTCTAAAACTAGTTTATCAATTCAGTTTGGGAGGTGGATATAAAATAGTAGGGGACAGTTGACATACAACGAATATATATTAAAAAACATATGCAGAACTTAATTACTAACTGGCACATCAAACTTGTAGAGAAGCAAACAATGCCAAATTGACCAATAATGTGGAAAGTGGCACACTACTCATATAACTTCAACTAACCTTTTCTTAGTTCAAATAAGGATGAGCTGGCATAAGAAAAGGTAGCACAAAATTCATTAAATTGACAAGTGAACTGTCTGATTCATCTCGCGGTCAGCTGCTGATCTATGTTTTTGTAGAGTCTCCGCATAATCTTCAACTGTGCATCTACAAGGATTGAAGGACCACTTCTTTTGAGATTCGCATACCCTTGGGTTGCCGCTACAGAGTCCATAATTTTTTGAGAGGAGATAAATTCAACACAAGCATCATTTAGAATGTCACAATGATGTTGATCTGCTAAAGCCAGCCTAGTTGCAACATTCTCCACATCAAGATTCTCGCAAAGGATGCTCTGACATAACAGTTTAAGCCTCTCCATAGCATACCGATCAGCAGCCACGAGCAAGTGCTGGACCATCTCACCACGATCATTTTCCTCGAGATCATCAACAATCTGCAATGAATCAGTATAGACGAAATGGAGCAGGGCCTTGAAGACATCAGGTTGCATGTCTTTGATGGGTATGAGCCGCGTTCCTGTCTCCCCCATCGGCCCGTAGAACTCTGCTTTGAACACGGGTGACCGCATGGCTAGGACAATCTTGTGTGCTGGGAAAACCTATGCTCCTAAGC